TTTGTATCCTTATAGATTTTTGCTATTAGATACTAGATATCATAATATTCCAGGAAAGAAAGTGAAGGTCAGAATTATTTGTTCTATGAACCACTGGATTACATATGCTTATAGATTTACTTGTAATGCTTCCTTGCAGAGTTTGCAAACCGAGGATGGTGAGCCCTTTAGAGTTGACAGTGAACCTTTCAGAGCTTTCCATGATAAAGAGCTCACTAAAGCATGCATGCCATACGTTTACCAACACTGCCCTAAACATTTTCTGTTGATTGTTCCTTTTAATTGACTTAGCATTCTCAGGTTCTATTTTACGGCTTTACAAATAGAAATCCATTTAACCTTTTTTTTTTTTTTTTTCCATTTAACCTCTAGGAAGTTAAAATTCATAAAATTTTGGACCTCTGTATACCAAGTACCTAACAGGCTTTCCAACTGTCTTTGTTTGGGTAGGAAGCCCCCAGTATAGTCCTTATGCCTGACTTAATCCTAATATGGTGGTCACAGCTAACAGATTTTTACACTATTACCTCAGAATGATTTACTTATTCTCTCCCCACCCCTTTCTTTTTCCACAATGACTTTCTTGCTAGTGCTCCTATGTTCCTATTTACCTTAAACATTCTTACAGATACAAAAAAAAGTCGTTAACAGAGGTTAACAAGAAGAGACAGTAAACCTCTAGACAAAGAAACCTACTTTCTGGTATCACGTATCTCAGAACTTATGCATTATAAATTTTCCCAAGAAATAACAGACATTTTTAAAGTTTAGATAGCTCCACTAAAAGTTAAATAGAACAGAACAAAAGAGGGGGAAAGCAACAGGAAAAACTGCTGAAAATAATGATCTTTTGGGGTGGTGGTGAAGGGGAGGAAAGAGAAAAGAGATTAGAACAAAAAACTTTCATATCTACATGTACTCACTAAGATGACTGTAAAATTCATGACTGCATGAACTGCAAACATGTACTAATAAGTTTCTTTTTTTAAAAGGAAAGTATTCTGAAAAGATATAGAAATACACAAGTTCAAGACTTCCCACCCATAATCTTCCAACAACCAAAAAGGTCGTTTCTTCTTGTCTTCCTTTTCGGAACCACTTTTAAACTGTTCTGGCAGGACTAACGCATTATCTGAAAGGCCAAGTAGTAAACTGACATTAGCCATAAAAGAAGATGGGATCAGCTCTAGAGTTTAGAGCTGACTCTCCAGGACTAGACTTCTTCTTGAATCTAAATATCTATGAAATTCTTACTAACCCTTAAAGATTATTTCTAATGTAGCCATCCTATATTTGGTATGCATTTTCCAATTAGAAGCATCAAACATATTTACACACACATACACATATGTTCTGGGAAAATAATTTTAGTATGAGATGGGCTATGAGTCATGCAGAAGATACCCAGAAGACACTTACATGACTCATATAGAGCAGGCCTCTAAGTAGAGAGACACTGACAAGGTGGGGAAGAGAAAGGGTGCAGCCACGTGAAATTTGGAGAGGGAGAAAACTAAATGTTGTTTGAGGCTAGGACCATGAAAGACTGGTAGTTTGACAGTACTACCTTCTGTTCCTTGAATTTGCTGTGGGCTTAAAAGCAACTGTTTGACAGGACTACAAGGAAACCAGTGCCTTTAGTGAGATCCAGGTTTTATCTAAGGTGAAACAGTAAAAAGAACTTTCCATAAAGAGTTATGAGAAAGTTTTTGTGGGTTACAGAGAACACAGGGGAGAGCTTTGGGAAGGAGGTCAGTGCTAAGAACATGAGCCTATAGGAGGCTGTGAGAAGACAGTGAAGGTGTAACCTGAGGTCACTGTGAAGATGAGAAAGAACAAGAATTGTGTTTCAAGATTATAGAGATGAAGGACTTGGTTAGGTTTCTGAACCACAGATGTATATGGGAACTAAAAAAATCCTGTTTTTGCTATAGTCTGCTCTAATTCTTTGCCTGTCATTTTCCATTAGTCTTTCTCTAGTTCTTTATTCTTTTCTTTCCAGCTGCTGTCCTTTCTGGTTTTTATATTTCTGCCTTTTTTTTTTGTCTCTCTCATGATTTATGTCACTCCCTCTTCAGATTTCTTTTCCCTATCTCTTATCGCTTGTTTGCTCTTCTGATTGCTCTCTCATTCTTTTCTCTCTTGGTTATTTCCACTCTCTCTGTACCTCTCTTTTATTGAATTTCTGATCCCATCTAAATCTCTGCACATTACTATCTGACTTGACTCTCATTATTTCTTGATGATGCTTTTCTCTGGGCCTTTTTCTTTTTTGCAAAAAATTCAAAAATATTACTGAGTATTACTATATTGACATTTAATTTCTACATATCTTATTGTATGTGTCCATGTTCACATAGGTATATACATAACTTATAACATTACTAAACTTCTGCCTGTTTCCTCATAACATGTAGAGTTACATAATATTCTGTTTTCCTCCACAATATCCTGACCTATTCCCCTGTTGTTCTTTTTCACTTTAGAAATGTAGCTAAACTACCATCAGTCACTATGATTTTTATCTGTAAGTACTCTTCAGCATAATATTAGGCAAATATTTTCTTTAGTCAGTTTGGCTGAATGGTTTGTTTGTATTGGTGATCTTTTTATTGCAGTTATTAAAGATTTTTTCTCTGTTGAGATTATAAATAATAAGGTTTTAGTTTATAACTGGGAAAAAGGACAGCTGGTTTTACTAGCAGAAGGACAGAAAAATCTGGAGACTGTAGTTTAAACTACTGTATACCAGTTTTACTGAAACATCTTATAGGCAGTATACTCTAGATTATGCAATAAATTTTGGTACCTTGTACTTTGTTCAGAATAAGCAGTACTTTTCCATTTGTCTGTCTGCCTCTGTTAAATTATTTTCCCTGCAAAAATGGCTTTTTAAGTGTTTTGGAAGTTCTAGATTTAGAATTTTATAAATTTCAGGTATCCTATAAAACAGCAATGTTACACATTGTTTGGCAGAGCAGGGGTATGAGGTCAGCAGATATTCCTAAGCCATAGCTCACTCTACAGATCCCTAGGGTTCTGAAGGGCACCATATAAAAAATCATGTTTTATCTTTACCAGCCCCTTTTATTTAAATCAATCAATAATTTTGTTTAAGAAAAAAAACCACACACACACACACACAAAGACAACACCAGCCGGGGAGATGGCTCAGTAGAATAAGTGCTTCCTTGGCAAGAGCAAGGGCCTGATTTCAATCCTTGGTTCTGCCAAAACCAAAGAGAAAAAATTTTTCTAAGTAACCTTTTATGTAAAAATAGTGTGTGGTTCATCATGGATTTCTTGGTTAATGAAAGGTCTCTCTTCTACTACTCATATAAGAAATTTTAAGGGGTAGGGATATAGTTCAGTGGCATAAGCGCCTGTCTGGCAAGTACAAGATCCTGAGTTTGATGCCTGGTACCTCAAAAACAAAAAAAGAAAGAAACTTTAATTAGCCAGGATGGCAAATTGAATTCATTCCATGAACACTGTTCTTTTGATAGTACCTGTATGGAAGATTGTGTGGAAACTGGGAAGACTGTACCATTTCTTCTGAGGCCCAGTAGAAGAATACTATATTTGGTTATGCATGTCTCCCAAATAGAAAAACTGAGAAACAAGAGTTAATTAATGATTAATTTGCTCATTGTGGTTGTTAAAACACACTAGCTAAAACACACAAGCATATACACCATATGCAGATCTATAAGCATGAACATCAGCATCTTGCTTAAACCCACAGATATACTCCAACATCACAAGCTTTGTTGTGGGAGACAGGTTCCTAAGAAAATCTACATAAAGTTCAATAAAATGATTTAAAATTGTTATACTAGAAAAATTATGTGCAGTAAAAAAGGACACTGGGCTATAAACCAAGAGGTGTGATATATCTAAGAATATTAAACTTTTTTTTTTTTTTTTTTTGGTATTTTAGGGAAGGGTCTACATGTTCAGGGATCTCACTACTAGACTGGACTCAGTGATTCTCCTGCTTACAACCTCTCAAGTGCTGGGATTACAGGTGCGTGCCACCATGCCCAGTCTCAATCACTATCCCAGCACACCCTGGGGGTGGGGCTGGCATGGCAGGCCCAGGGATTGAACCTTCAGCCCCTGTGCCTCCTTGCAGGCGCTTTAATCTGCTGAGCTATTTGGCCAGCCCTTTATTCGACTTTATATGCATGAAATCTGAAATCTAATACATGAAGTGAACTTTTGAAGGTCAAATTAATTTTGCCAACAGTAACTAAGTAATTTGTTACTTGCCTTGTTTCTTATCCCAAACCAAGAAAGCACACATGTACACAGAACACTGAAACTGAGAAAAGAGACAGCGAGAGCTGAAAAGACATACAGTATGCCAAAGTCAGACAGAAGAAACTGGTTTTCTTTGCCTCAAGCTCCAGATACATATTATGAGTTTAACATCTTCTGAAGAGAAAGCCAAAGGGAAAATGATGTGTGAGGTTCGTCAGTCTGAAGGTTTTGTTATCTTTTACTTTCACAGAATTAAATGGGATCAGCAATAGTAATTACGTGTAACAAGCTCTGGAATTCTTCTCCAACGTTTTCACTGGCAAGACACGAACTTGCTTATAATGAAGCAAAGTTAACCTCATTCTCGTACTACTCAAGTATTCTTCTTTCATGTTCCCTTCCAGTCAACTTTAAATAATGTAAAATATTCTTCCTCCAAAAAGCAGATGAACTTTCACAGGGTTCCATAAAGCAAACACAAGTTTGCTTGAGAACCAAAGATGTTTCAATCAAAAAAAACCTCAAAAATTCGTTCTCTATCTCCTCCTTAACAATTTCCAAGCATAACTAATGTTATTCAATGATCGTATCTTGGGCTCAGAATTACTGAGGCTTGTTGTATAAATTCTTCCATTTGATTAGCAAAACTGTTCTGTTGCAGGAAAGGAGGAAAGAGGGTTATTTAAAGAAGAATAACATCTTTACAATATTCAGTACATGGTTTCTGTCACACCTACCTTCTCACCACTGGAGTAGAAGAAATAACGTAATCGGACTATGTTACAGTGGTCTAACTTTCTCATGATCTGGAGCTCTCGGTTCTGTAAAGGAAGCACATGAAAATACTTTTTAAGAATAACAGCTATTAATCATAATGGTTAAGAGGACTCTAAAATAGTAAACACAAGAAACATAAAGATATGGACGGACATACTATATAAAAGTAGTCTATATTCCAGTTCTGATCTGCAGAACTGTTTGTTAATCCATGAACTGTATGTTTCTGTGCAACAGTAAAATAAGTATAGAAATCAAGTTTTTATAATTTTTCATGTCAATTCGACAACTGTGACTATGATAATAATTAGGACTTGTATTCTGTATTTTTGTTAAATTTTGCTTTTATAGTAATTAGTACTGTATTTTGCAAACTTGTCAGTTTGAGGAATCAAATTATAAAAACTGCTATTTTACCACGGTAATGTTGAGGGACTAGTGTGTAGTTCGGAAGAAATATTGGAAATGAATTGCTACTAGCGTAATTTTTATACCTATAATAGTGATTTTTAAAAAACCAAACAAGAAACAAATGAGTCTGGAGCTATTTGTTTTGCAAGACACAGTGAAAAACTAGGAGTTAACTACATGAAAGGGGCTGACTTGCTAAGTTTTAGAAAAAGTTACAATACGGTACCCTAAAAGCTGCACAGCCCCCAAAGATCTGTAGATCACAAAAACACTTCTTCCCTTACAAAGTTGTAAAGTTAGATTCATTCTTTCTGAAAATAAAGCAGTATAAATACTAGGATAAATGCTTAGTACCATATTTTTAGCACCATATTATTTTGAAATTATTTATGAATTTCT